TAGGGCTTATATTTTCAAATTAAGACCCCCAAATTTCACCATCATCCGATTTCACGATCATCCGCGACATTTAATAAAATTGCAAGTAACTAAATAACAATTATAAGAATAATATCAATTCATTCAATATTGAAAATTCAATATTTTAGAATTAACAGGAGCGAACTTCAGTGTTGGGATATTGGACCAAATTTGTTCCATTGGACCTATATAAGTCCCATTATAATTTAAATTACTGACTTATAAAGGAGGTGACCAACATTGATGTACTGTATCTATTTTTGAAAGTTATTTTTTCTCGCAAGTATTAATGAACGCTAAAAACTATTTCTGTATTCTTTCACTCCAAATTAATATTCCTTAGTTTTAACTTCTTACAAATATCATTGCATTTATGGTTTGCCAAAATACATTTTCGAATTCCTCTCCTTCCTAGATTCGTTATTCCAAATCTTAATAAATCAACACAATGTATAGCTGGATCTGTTAATAAGAACTATTATCGAGATCAACTCCTTGTAAGTCATAAACTAACAAATACCCTTCTGTATATTCATAAGTTAAATGAGCAAATTCCTCAAAAATAGAATGAAATTCTGTAATTAGACCGTTATTGACATTAAAACGTTTAAAATCTGCATACTGATATATATTTCTACAGAGTAATAAGTGTTGTCTGTCTTATCGCATAAGATTTTCACATCAATAAATGTAACTTTTTTATTAACACCAACTTCCTTGGCCGCTTTATTAAATTCTGTTGAAAGAAAATATGCAAAACTAGAAATTTCCACTGATTCCAAATACCGTTCTATGGTCCCTTTTTTAACATTATGATACTTTTTTATCACTAATTTATTTGCTTGTTCAAAATTTGTATCAAGAGCGAAATAAGATATCGTTCAGCGCCGACGGAGAACGGCTGCGGTGCAAGCTTAAAATTTATGTTTTGACCTGTAAAATTTGAATTAATAAAATAATATTCGTCTTTAATTTCAGCAAGAGTTTTAGTTGAGACATACATAATAGTTCTTCTGTTTTCTCTGGAAGATGAATCCAATTAGGTTCGTATGAAGCTTTTTTAGTTGTAAAGAATATATACTTTTCGAGTTTCTTAAATCGTGGTTAGTGTAACTGATGAGAAAATGACGGAGCAAGTAGCCTTGCAAAATTTATTGGCCAATATCTCTGGACTATTTACTGTAGTTTTAAGATCAAATACAGGAAATTCACCAATTATTTCACGGAATACTTTAAGCATAACTTCAGTTGAATCATTAATCTTCACAAAATGGTATAAAATATTTTTTGATTGCATTTTTTTAGCACGCTTTTGTAGTTAGACCTTTTGGATCGCCCTTTGGATATTTGTCATACAAGGTAGTAAACTGATAATTGTTGCATTAAGACCACCTAAGACATCATCTGATTCATCATAGCTTTTAATTTCACTACTTTGGTGATAATATATGTTGCAAATTTTTCGAGAGTTAGTAAAATCAAAAATCTGCAAATGAAGAATTTGATACTTGAATTATAGTTGTTTACGTAACTAGCCACATATAATATGTGCCGTGATATGTTCAGACATAGATCCTGTACAATCTAGAACAAAGCAAGGATCAACATTCATTGAATCTTCAATATCAATGATTGCTTTTGATACATTATTTTTTCTGTTTTTCGTAAATATGTAACTCTGTCAATTAGTGTTGATGTATTACTAATTTGATCTGCTTCTTTTTCGTAGCGTCTGAGACGTTCTTCTAAGAGTTTCTTGTTACCTATAGGCGGTCCTGGAATGCTTCCAGAATTTCCAATGGTAATTGAAGATAAATTTTATTTAGTGAGTCTTCATCGTGACAGTTACCTATGCTATAATTGTTTCTTTTTTCTTATTCTTTTTTTTTAAATCATGGTTTTCTAAAATAACTTAGCATAATTCACTTATGTTGAATTAGAAAAACTCTGCTCCTATTGTTCGGAGTGTAGAAATGGATAATTTAATATACTGTATACTAAAAAAATATCATGCTTCATATTCGGTCATCTGATGATTTATCTGCATATTTGCGTAACAAATCGAAATCACGTTTTTAAATTTTTGCTTGAAGTTTTAGTCATAGCACCCGATATTTCTCAAAACAAAAACTAAGTTTCTGCAAGGCAGAACAGTATAAAGAAAATGAAAAATTAACATTAAAATTTACACTTAGTGATATAAATAAAATAAATTGGTTTTTATAACATAAGATAAAAATTTGAACCCGGATAACTAGAGGTCTTTTTATATAACAGTCATGAAATAGATCACATCAGGTGATAAATTATAATAAAAAACTTATAAATTTACTATAGCTTTTAGGCTCTAAATCCTTTTTAACTTACAATTTATTTTCAAAAATTTTGGAATTAACTTATCGAAAACAGTAAAATAAAGATTACTTAAAATGATCTTTAAAATTTAGAAAAATTTACTAATTTTAATACTTTAATGCCGTAAATTTTACGCTGAATAGATTACTTAGAAAAATAAAATTTAAAATATTCATGTAACTATAAACAATGAAGTAATTTACCATCATATTGCTAAATTTATTGATAATGTGCTATTTTATTTAAGTATGCATTAGAAATATATGATTCTAAAAATTTATAAATGACGCCAACATGTCTAAAAATTAACTATAAAGAATTTATAGAAATTAGCATTTAATAACGATATGATCACTTGATACATATTTGTCATATTTTTCTCTCTGTCTACTGTTGAAATCTCATATTAAAGTTTATGGTATTATTTCTATTTCCACTGATCTGAAGTTGAACAGAATAAAGATATGGCGCTTTTAATTTTGGTTGGCTCATCCTTGCCGTATATTGTATACTTATTGTACGTAATACTATTCGTATGAATAATTCCTGTTTCATCACAATTATTAGAAAGGAATTTTTTTTTTGTCGGATTCTTTACCGGTTTGATAGGTAGAAAATCATTGATTGTCAAAGCTTGTATCGAAAGATTTATAATTTTTTTCATTATTATTTATTAACCAAATAATTAAAAAAAATAAAAATAAAAAAAATCAAGAAAAACAATAACTACTTGTAACTATTTATAACTTTTTATTTAATATTCATTAAAGATAGGCAGCGAAACCGCCACATGATCATGTGCTAGTTTTAATTTGTACGTGATATACTAGTTTTCTTAGTTAGTTAAAATTAATTTAACATGTTAATTACGCTTTATCTTGCACTATTTATTTCAATTTTACACTATTCTGATTTATTGCCTTATATGTATCCATGGATTACTTGACTTTAATTTAAAGTAAATATTATTATGTTGAATATTTAAATCTTTCAGTGTGATGTTCTTGCAAAGTGCATCTGCTAATGCTTGTCTTCCTTTTGATCCAAGATCATTCCTTTGAAGGTTCAAAATTTTCAGTGTTATGTTCTTGCCAAGTGCATCTGCCAATTCTTTTCCTCCCTCTGGTCCGAGTTTATTGTTACAGAGATTCAAAGAAGTCAGCGCCTCGTTATTGCAAAGTGCAACTGCTAATACTTTTCCTCCTTCTAACCCAAGATCATTACAATCGAGATCCAATGAAGTCAAGGCGGTATTCATGCAAAGCGCATCCGCTAATGATTTTCCACCTTCTGATCCAAGACGATTATAGGCAAGATTCAAAGAAGTCAGAGTAGTATTTTTGCAAAGTGCACCCGCTAATGCTTTTCCACCTTCTGATCCAAGACCATTATAAGAAAGATTCAAAGAAGTCAGAGTAGTATTTTTGCAAAGCGCACTTGCTAATGCCTTTCCTCCTTCGGATCCAAGATTATTTTTTCCAAGATTCAAATCTTTCAGCGTGATGTTCTTGCAAAGTGCAACTGCTAATGCTTTTTCTACTCCTGATACAAGACCATTACCATAAAGATTTAAAGAAGTTAACGTAGTGTTCATGCAAAGTCCAACTGCTAATGCTTTGCCTCCCTCTAATCCAAGATAATTACCTTGAAGGCACAAATCTTTCAGCGTGGTGTTTCTGCAAAGTGCAACTGTTAATGCTTTTCCTACTTCTGATCCAAGTTTATTATAGTGAAGTTTTAAAGAAGTCAGAGTAGTGTTCTTACAAAGTGAATTAAATAATGCTTTACTTCCTTCTGATCCAAGATTATTATATCCAAGGTCCAAAAAAGTCAGCGCTATGTTTTTGCAAAGTGCAGCTGTTAATGCTTTTCCTACTTCTGATCTAAAATTATTACAACTCATATCTAAAGAAGTTAGCGTAGTGTTCTTGGAAAGTGCAGCTGCTAATGCTTTGCCTCCTTCTGATCCAAGATTACAAAGCGAAAGGGACAAATCCTTCAACGTGGTGTTCTTGTAAAGTGTAATTGCTAATGCTTTTCCTACATTTGGACCAAGATTATTGCACCCAATATTCAAAGAAGTCAGCATAGTGTTATTGCAAAGAAACTTTACTAACATCATCCCTTCCTCATTGCCAAAATGATTATTCCAAAGACTTAAAGAATTTAGGACTGTGCATTTATGAAGAGTTGCTAATAGTGTTATCGCTTCATATCCGATAAGGCTGTGATTAAAATTCAAAGAAGTCAAAATAGAATTATTTTGAAGAATTTTTACTAATGCATCTATTGCCTCATGTTTAACGTTCCAGATGTTTGATAAATGTATAGAGGTAACAGTAGTGTTCTTATAAAGATTTTCAAATATTATTTGATCGCAAATAATTTCATCAAGACTTAAATGTTTAAGCTTCTTACTAGTTCGTAGAAGCATTGTAAACAAAGAACACTTAACGGCATTTTCGAGCTTACTTCCTGTTTCATATTTTTTATGTCGAAGCCATTTTCTAGTACCAATAAATAAACTACTGCTAACAGATGTGATATAACTCGCGTATTCAAATAGTGGTTTTTTGCGACAACGCGGAAGACCAATTTTAAAAGGTTTTAATAGAGCTTTCTCTTCAGCATTTAACGTTAAAAGTAATATCCTTATAAGTCTGATATTGTTAAAATGGTTTTCTGGTTCTCTCCACAATATTGGTATAACAATTCTACACCAATGACGACTTACTAATGC